TGATGTTTAGGGTGGCTGGCATTACCCACTGCGCATGTTCTGTGGTGTTCTGCCATATTCTGCTTTACACATTGGTCCCTGCCCGCTTGCCCGCCCGCCCGACAGTACTCCTGCCCGGCCGCCCGCCGCCCGCTCGCGCCCGCCTGCACACTCGCATATACGCCCGCGCACTCGCATATACGCGCGCGCACGCACACGTGCACACACTGACAAGAACTTCGTTATCATTAGAAGTCGACGGAACTGGTAGTGTTCGGAAACATGGCTAGACAGCTCGTTTATTCGTATGTTCGCTTCGGTTTGCAAGAAGGGAGCCATTGCTTCATCTGTCGCACCAATCAAGACGACATCAGCAACGAGCCTTCGACGGGGCCAGATGCCCCTGCCAAATCCAGCACTCAAATCTTCAACAAGGGGGGCCTGACAAAGCCAGAGTCAATACTCACTTTACTCGTAGCAGCCAACTGCCGGGTTAGCATACGTCGCATTGCATCACTGACGAACCGTGCTCTCCGAATCACTTCGGTTGATGGCGCTGGCGAATGAGAGGTGACAAATGTTCTTGCCATGCAAAGTATGTGCAGGCGCACAGAGATGGGTTTTGGCAGCAAGCAGAAGAAGTTGGCTGGAAGGACGTCTTGAAGTGCGACAGAACAGATTCGAGCAGCAGTAGGTCGATGTGCCATGCTGGACAGTACTCTTGAACGGCAGGCAGCCAAGAGGTGAGTCCCCAACAGGCCTTGCCCCTCAAGACCCTCAAGGGGCTCGCCAGCTGAGTGTGAGCCAGTCTGTGGGGCCGGCCCGCGAGGTCTCGGGATGCTCGGGGCCGCCGGCTTGATGAGCACCCCCACGTTAAGTAACACTTGGCATGTCACTATAATTAGGTGGCCACTCCAAGAGTGCAGTGCCCGACGAATCATACCATACCAAAGGCAGGGGACCATGCCATAGGGACAAGGGCCCCACCCGCGAGGGAAAAGGGCAACAACGCCACATCTTGCGTAGTAGCAATCACAACAAGAATCACAGAACCATTCACCTGCAACCATAGCAGCTCCTCCCGTTGGCAAAGGGACACACGCAATCGCAGTTTCAAAATGTAACCATGGAGCACAACACGGTGGGGCGGATAGTTGGAGACCAAAGCGCCAACCAAAGATAATTCCAACTAGCCTAGCATGTAGAACGCACAGTGTGCTCCATTTTGCTCACACCTCTGACCAGGCACGCCCGTTTGATGAGGCCAACCCGGCCCCCCTGCCCTAGATTGTAAGCTGCACAGCAGCCCGAGAGCACGCGAACGGCGGGCGGGCGACGCTGCAACGACCTTGCGTCCAATTTGCCTCCGCTTGCAGACATTTGCGTTTGCAGGCCGTGGCACCAAGCCCAGGCAGAAAACCGAAAGCATTTCAGCTCTGCTCGAGAAGATGCAAAAAGATTTACCGATTGCTGCTAACAGCGATGGCACCTTGCAGGAGAGGGGTGGCATCACCATCTTCTGCGAGCTCTCCGAGCTGTCTTCGCCGGAGAATCTCCTGCGGCACTGCCAGTCAGTACCCCGCACCTGTGCTGGCTTCACTGTGGTACGATGTAGCTGTTGCTGTAGCAACTCGCATTTCGCCTTCTCACAGCATGCACGGACGGCAGCAGCGATTCTCACAGCCATTCAGGCCCTGAACTTCAAAAGGTTGTTTCCAGCGGAAGCAGCACCATGAGAGCTCATCTTAATGCGACTTCACTTCCTTACTAGTTGCCCACAAAACATCTCAAGAAGGCGAGAGATTGGACGGCATGGGTGAATGGCAAGAGCATGACCATGAGAATGGATGAGAAGGCGTCGGCATGCGTCGGCGACGTAAGCCTGGCCTGCAAGGGCTGGCTGTTTTTTCGATCGGAAGGATGGTGGGTCCTCGGCAGTGGCTGCCAGAGCACGCAGTGCTCCAACACAGCAGGCGTGGGTGCTTGTTTGTTGCACAGACTGTTGCACGACTGAAGGAAGGTTCTCTGCAAGCTCTGAGGGTGTTTGCTGTACTGATAGAGCAGAATACGAACCCAACTCCGCCAAGACGAGGCTGTAACCCTGCATGAACATCTCCAGCACTGCCCACCACGCACAGCCTGCTTCTTGAGCTGGGTCGGGTCGAGTTGTGCCGCAAACAGAGGCAAGCCTGCAGTGTACGCTGTATCGAGGTCGCCGGAGCAGCAAGGGGGATGAAACAGGGAGGCGCATTTGCCGAATTCATTCCATGAGTGGCGACCAGGGACTGTAACCAGTGCACGAAGTGCATAGTTTCCTCAACATTAGGTCTGTCTGGCTTGCATCCTGCAAGACACGGCTCCGAGCCGGCATTGAGAGCATGCGCCTCAGCCAAGTATATCCTCCGACCTGTTTGCCTTTGAAGTTGCAATGCGGAGGAGAGAAGCAGCTTCTGGGAACAGCCAGGCCCATTTAACCCATTTAGCATGAACCTGGCTACGAGCAGCTTGAATGGAGGCTCCCGTTGTGTCACAGCCGAGCCGGGTTCCCTGCAGGAGGGCGCGGGATTGCGCATCTTTCCACTGGCATGGAGGATCAGTGTGTGCTGAGGTCCATGACTTCGTTTTATGTTGCAAACCATCTGGCCCGCTCCATCATTCAATCTGGACTTGCAGAGGCATGGTACCCCCGCGGGCTTTCAGGAAGTCAAGGTACACGTAGTGCGACTGCAGTTCGTGCCGACAAGGGAAAATGCCAATCGGATACCACCTCGGCGCTGAGCGAGTGCCGGGGCTGAAATGTTCGACAAGTCTACTGCATGGACTATGTTACTTTCAAGTTAACGTTGCTTGTATTGTCAGAGATGCAGTCGACATTTGCACTGCCAGGGATCCGCCGACGACAGGTGGGAGGTTCCCATGCCGTAGCATGTCACTCGGACTTCGGACCTTTGCCAGGCACGTGGACGTCAGAGGCCTCCCGGTCTCGTTTGCCGGTGAATGTGGAGAACTCCATTCACTAATGGCGTAGTAACGTAGTAATGATCAGGTCGTGCGGGTTCTTCCCGGAAGTCAACTCGCTTCCCCGGCCGTTCGGTGGCACAGTAGCCCTTACGGATCGGTTGGACTTGCCTCCTTAAACCGATGCCTTGCCGAAAGGAGACAACTCCGCTGCCGTCTCCAGCGGCCGGCCAGGTCACCGAACTTGCGCCCACAAGAGAGCCAGCATCTAACCTACTCACCTAGCGAAGGAGACACCGCCAGAAACAGCCGCCTCGGAAACGTGGCTCGGCACGAGTTGGTTTCAGCTTCTTGAAGCCCCGACGTGTTGTACGACACTGCTATGTGACATGCGCGAGGCAGCGGAGCGACCCAGAGGTGCAGCGGATCGCAGCCGAGCCTCAATGTTCCGACCTTGCAACTTCCGCCAATTGCTGCAGGCGATTGGCCACGTCCAGAGTTGGGCAGAAAAGGTGCTGCAGCAACTCTCTAAGGAGGTGGCCTGAACAAAATGCTCGGACGTGCGTGTGTGCATGTCCTATGTCGTGTCCTGATGTTCCTGATGAACCTCCGAGGCAAGCTTCACAAAGACCTTGCCCCAGAGGTTCCGGCTGGTTGTTGGGTTTCTAGCCATTTCTCCGCACATGCCACGCTCTGCTGCAGGGACGGTGTCGATATCAGCCCCACCGGAATTGCTGCACTGTTTGGTTTCGACCTCCACGGTTCCGAGGCAGGACTCACTGGATGAGGGCAGCTTGCAGGCAGCACTGTTCCTGCCTTGAGGCACAGCGGTCGGGAAAGCAGCCAGTACGAAAAGGCTCGGTTCAACATTCCCGGACAAGAGCCTGCCTTGCACCAGAAATAAGGGGTGTAGTCTGCAGAACGACGCCTTGCTGAAGGCATGCCGAGCATTCCGAAGCGCCGGCCACAAACTGGCGACATGCTTGAGAGTTCTGCATATAGTATCTCAAGATGGGCTCAGGCTTGATCTGACTAGAGTGACTCGAGACGAAGATGAAGATGACGAAGACTTTGAGAACAAAGCTGCTACCTTACCGCCGTGGAATGGGGCATCCGAGACGAACGACAGCAGTCGTGGTCAAGTCTTCAAGCAGAAGTGGTGTGAGGGGGGACGAGCATCCCTGGCTTCGATCGCTTTTGGATGCAGGGGCTGCGATGTTTCAGTAACAGGAGGTCCCTTGTCGGGCTTACTGTTCTAGTTGTGTTGTGTTTGGATTGTGTCTGCGGGGTCTTCGCCGGGTCGGAGGAATGCGAATGAGCCATCAGGTTTTGGGTTGAGGACGTTCACTTGCCTGGCAGTGACGATCTGAGCATGGTACACGAGACAGAAACATCGTCCGTCCAAGCACAGCAACGACGACGGCGGACACAGCAACCGCAAACGAGAACACTAATATCAACCGCAGCAGCAACAGCAACAGCACCACCACCACCAACAACGACGCCAACAACAACCAAACAAAGGAAGCAGCAGCCGCAGCAACCGGCATCGGAGCAGCCAGCAGCGGCAGCAACAGCCAGCAGCAAGATCAGAGGCATGCTACAGTCCGGATACTGCTGCTATGGCTATTGCGACGTCTACTGCCACGACCACGGCTACTTACTACTTACTCACTAATTATGACGTACTGATACTACTCCTACTACTACTACTACTACTACTACTACTGCTACTGCTACTGCTACTACTACTACTACTACTACTACTACTACTACTGCTACTGCACCACTACTACACTACTACCACTACTACTACTACTACTACTACTACTACTACTACTGCAACTACTACTGCGTGAGGGTTTGGTCTTGATGTTCCGTATAATCGCTCACCTTACGGAACTATATGTTGATGCTATGTAGCCCA